TTTATTTTCATTAATTTCCATTTAAATCTGAAAATTAATGTGATAAAGATGATAAAGAAGATAAGGTAACAACATTAAGCATGCACAAGTATTGCAATTTATTCTCTATCGTATAATCGGATGATAAAAAAAAACCGTTATATAAGCGATAGACAATAATATGGATAACACTTGATTATATCTATGGATAGCAATTGATTATGTTCTCCGAAATAATTTCCCATACATAGAACACAGATTCTTCTTTCCCATTCATAGACGGTTACATTCTCTAAAATCATATAAAATCATTGGTTTATGATAAAATTTTTGACCTACATACTCTCACCATTAACATCCACTTCAGAAGCTTTCTTTATCTTCTCTGTATAGATCTTGAATAAAGTTACAATTGATGCAAACAATATTCGATTAATAAATATGGTATAATTAAAAAAAAAGTTTCAACACCGAAAATTCTACTTACAATTACACGTTTGGCCTTCCAAAAACTTTTAATCAATAGAATTCGATCCTCAATAGATTCAATTCCCAATGTCATTAAATCTTTATAGTTAAGCTCAAGAATATCTTGCCATTTTTTCCCTTCAAACTTTGAAGCGTATTGTTTCATCCCTACAGTATTAAGATACGATTGGAAATCTATTTTTTTTTTTAAAAAAAAAAATCTATAAATATATTTATTTATTATTTACTTATTTATTTATTTATTTATTTATTATTTATTTATATAAAGTACCCTCTAATAATTCTGGTGTAATATCAGGTGTTGTTCTAATCTTTCTATATCTAAATACGCGTTCTTCTTTAGCTGCCTGAATAAAATAAGAGTATATAAGTACTTTTTGGTATATATTAATATTATAAAATAAACCAACTCTTTTATTTATTTTAATTATGTAAATATTATTCTAATATATATGAGTGCAGCCAAGGGAAAACCCACAATCGGGCTTTCAATGTTTGTGTGCCGTCTAGGGAAAATCTATCATCGGGCTTTAAATTATATTTTGTCAAAATAAAATTGAAAGCCGATGATAGACTATTCCTAGATGACATACAGAAAACAAACTGAACATTGAAAGCCCGATTGTGGGTTTTCCCTTGGCGGCACTCACATATATATATATATTAATTATAAACTCACGAGATCTAATCGTATAACCCAAAAATAGGTTGTTAATCTCCGTCTAAAAGTTGCTGACTTGACACCTAAAAATTCTAGATCTCTAGCATTCATATTAATTATTTCTCTCCAGTTTTTTCCATCAAATAAATATGCGAGGTGTTGCATTTTACAGCCTTGAAGCCAAGCAGGAAAATCTACATATTAAAAAATAATCAAATATTGTCTCAAAAAAAAAAAAAAAAAAAAAAAATCTAGGGCATTAAATTTTTATAATACAATATATACCTTCTAATAGCTCATAATTAACACGATCATATATATTTTCTTTTTGCCATTTAATCCGTTCGTATAAAAGTTCTTCAACTTTTTCCAAAGGCAATGAAGGTAACACTTGCCCATCACGATCATAACGAGGTCGATAGTTTAACAACTTTGGCGTTGTATCTGTCAATGAAGTTTCTTTATTATCATTTGCGGCACTTTCTATGGTAACATTACGATTAAATATAATAATTCCTGATTTAACATTTTTATTCATATATTCGGTTGATTTGTAAAAAGCATTTGTAATATTTGTAGTAATTGGTCGAATAGGAATTATTTTTTTATTGCCAACATAATTAAAGTTGGGGTTTATTGATTTTTGGATAATTGTTTGGATATTATTTGATTTGTAAAGGTAATCCTTTATCCTATTGTATGATAATCGAATCATTGTTATATCAAATTTTTTTTTTTTCTCAAAAGAAAAATAAAAATTTTTTTGATTATCGTTCTATATTGATATGTTTATGATCGATGATTTTGACTATATCGATATATAATGTTAAAGTTGTGTTACCGTTACATGCACATGTGATATCTGATATCTGATATTAGCGGTATGTACCGCCAGTATTTTGCATCGTCTTAAAACAATCGACCTAATCCTTGGATCTCTACGAATAAATTACCGTATACTGCCGTGTAAAAACCTGGGTTCACCAATATTAAAACCTATATTAAATCCGGGTCTAGTAAATGGCGGAGAATTTGTTCCATTACTGCATTAGAAGAAAAAATTTAAAAAGCATGCATATTGTATTTTCAGTTATAATGAGTGGCTTAGATATTTCTGATATATAGGATGTGATATCTGGGTGGGCCTTGTACGTACGTACGTACGTACACGGCAGTTTACAGTATATACAAAATGTGAAACAATACGTTCATTTTATCTATTTTCATAAAAAGTAGTGCGTCCAAACAAAAAAGGGGTTTATCTATAAGGATTGTATATTAGAAACACGTCAAACAAATGGAAAAATCTATTTTATATTACCGTATTCTATCGTTAATAAGCACCAAACGACACCACACACTTTTTTTTAAATGTCCGATTAGCGGAAATCGCAATGGGAAGGGTAATTATTTTTGAATCCGGAGTAATATGATAGCTACGTAATTATATTACGGCATTAGTCCGATTTCAAAAATTACTATTCAAAACTTTAGCCAGTTAGTCTGATATTAAAAAGTGAGGTATGTGTTTATTTCTGTATTTTACGATAGAATACAAGCATATTGATTGTTCATTTAGGCAGCTGTTATTCATACCCCACCCAATTTTGTTTCGTATCTGCAGAATTTTTCTAACTTTGTGTGATGATATTTCAGTGACTGCCTAACTAAATTCGATGAATTGTATTTTTTGTTTTATCTTGATTCTACAGATATGTAGAATTAATATAAAAATTCATCTAATTCGGCTAAGTGGTTGTTAAGATATCTTCTCCCAAAGCTTCAATCCAAAACGCCTATCAAAATAATAGATACTAAAAACTCTAAAGATATCTCAACAACCATCCAACCAAATTCGATGAACTTTTTTTTTTATTTTAATTCTACAAATCTGTAGAATCAAAAAAAAAAGTAAGTTCACTGAATTTGGTTGCTCAAAGATTCAGAACGCCTGTTAAATAATAATTGCACAAAGTTTTTTTAAACTATTGAGCGAAGATGTCTCAGCAACCACCTAATCGAATTCGACGAACTTTTTTTTTTTAATTCTAAGAATCGAATGAAAAAAAATTATCGATTTTGGTTAGTGTTAGCGGCAAAATCGCTACTCCCGTGATGTCACCAGACCCGGGAGAATGATCAAAAAAAAGCCCCCTGAATCATGCGAGCAAGACATAACTTGTTCAAGAAGAAATGGACCCGGCTAAGCCCTAAAGAAGTCCAAAATTAGGCAAACGCCACTGATATTATCGTAGGGAAAAGGTGGATAGAAAAGATGCATGGAACAACATAGTAATGACGTAAAGGGGCGAGACTTGGAATTCTCTAGCTTCTTTTCAGTTTTTTTTTTCCTTTTCCTTTTCTGTAAAATAGAGTAGCGATTTGTAAGGGCATTGAAGTTCAACTTCGAAATTATTTCCTTACGATTCAAATAAAAAATCGATATCTTTTCCTTGATACAAAAGTCTTTCATTTTGTCCCATCTTCTTACACAGAACAAACCAATTTGCCAAATCTCTTTCGTCTCCCTTTGGTTTTGGTTTGTTGTGTGGTTTTGTGTAGTTTGTGACTATCCCGATTCGCTTTGCCTCCTCAGTTTTGCCTGCAACAGTAGTTTCCGAGATATCTTCGTTCAAAGTTTTTAAAAAAAATTTGCTGCAGCTATTATTTTGACAGGCGTTTTGAATATTTCAAAACGTTGAGAAAGATATCTCGGTAACCACCTAACTAAATTCTATGAACTTTTTTTATTCTATGGATTTATGGAATTACAGTAAACCAAAAAAAAGTTTACCGAATTTGGTTAATTGTTGTTGAGATATCTTCGCTCAAAGTTTAAGAATTTTTTTATATCATTTTAATAACGTTTTGAATATTTTGAAATTTGAACGAAGATTTCCTGACAACCACTCAACCAAATTCGATAAATTATTATTATTATTGTAACCACTGATATATCTTCAATTAAGGTCAGAAAAAACTTAAATTTTGTGTGGTTACGAATAACAATTGGGGTACAAATAACAGCCGCCTTCATTTATTTAATATTTTTAATTACCGTATAATGTATCTAACTAGATTACAAAGCTAACTAAATGATATTTGAAGTTTTTTGATTTTTAAATATTTTGTTAAATTCAAATTTATAAATCCATTTGATAAACCCTTGTATTTTTTTAACAAATTTATCAATTAACCATCGGGAATTTCGTATAATTCTTCCTGATATAAATATTACTCTGATGTTTTGGTGATTCAATATTAGGTTTAATTTTATCAGCTTCTAAAAATTGGTTTTTTTTTTATTTTATTTCATCATCGAAATTTTCTATTTATTCAATCCAATAATTAATTAAAGTATTAACAGATCGAATACTAGGTAGTTTCTCGAGTTTAAATTCATACTTCGGTTTGCTAATTCAATATAAAAATCAGGAGTGCCAGATGTAAATTCTAGTTGTAACCCATGACAAATTTTTACCGTAAGTTCATCAAAAATCATAACCATCGAAGCTATTCTTCCCGTTGTTATTTCCGTCATAAATGTCAACTGTTTGAGTATATTTGTTAGACGAATCCTTTTTCGCATAATGACGAAAGACGAAATTAAATTTAAATTGACGAAACATATACCCCAAAGACGAAAGTATAAAGTTATTTTATAAATTACTATCATCACATAGTGCTATCCATAATTTATTTCTTCTATTGTTAAGTAGGAACATTATATTAATCTAATTTTGTTTTATTCGTGTTAATTTAATTGAGTTAAGATCTTTAAATAAGCTCATGAATATTACACAGCCTCTTATTTTCTTATGTTGATTTAGCTGATATGTACAAAGTAGAAATTATTACAGCTTATGCCGTAATTAGTTACAATATAAGCTATAATAATAATAGTTTCTATCACATCTCTAGTGCAATGGACTTTGATATTTAAAGTAATTATTTGCAACTATTTAGTTGATTATTTATAAAGATCTTAACTACGTAATGCATTAAATTCATAAATTTGTTATCTATGTAATTTAATTTACTCAAATTAGTATATAATTAATTTGCATATTAAAAGTAAGCCACTTTAGTGGTATATAAAAATATTTTTAATATTCTATGAATTTCAGGATAGGCAATTATCATTTATCGCTGGTGCTGTTGCATCTAAAGTAGCGATTTATCTAAAGTAGCTACTTTAGATATATAAAGTAGCGCCTGACTAAAATTAGGCCCCTGAAATTAGATCTTCATGCATGCACTAAATCGTAATTCTAGCCCAGGTAGTGTTCAAACGGGTCATGCATAACCTCAGGCTGCCCGGGTCGGCCATGTAGATCACGGGTCAGGCCAGGCCGGTCCTGACCCGCGGTGGCCCGTGGGCCAGAAATATTTGATTGGTTAAAAAATAGAGATCATCTAGATTGCAAAAAATTTTCTTCGTTATTCTACTATAAACAAAGTTCGCATATTTATGGGCATAATTAAACATATTCATTTGAATTAGAGGTTTATACTGCCAACTTGCCTGAACTAGACAAGTATATATAGCATTATAACTTTCTTATATGCGAAAGCAAAGTTTGTCAATTTAATGGAAAATATGTATGAATGTTAAAAAGCAAACTATATTCAATAAATAGGTGTCTTGGTTATTCAAATTTGATCTTTCCATATTGCTTAAACTAGACAAGTATATGTATCGTAATTATAGTTGTTCAATGAAACCTCGAGGTTTTGCTGCTAAACCTAATTTTGTCAATCAAAATCTTATGCCGAAATTGACGAAAAATGACGAAACTGAGAAAGGGTAACTGACAAAAGGTGACAAAACTGACGAAAGGCGACAAAACTGATGAAAGATGATGAAACTGATGAAAAGCAAAGGGCGACACAATTGATAAAGGAAGAAGATACAGATAGGTGGTGAAATGTGAATAGAAATTATAAAAACTACAAAAAATTTTATTGTATAATATGCGCTTGAATTGTTTAAAAGGAGTTAGAAATGAGTATTCTATATGACTACGCCAGGGCGTAGGATTGATTTTACTGTCATGTGATCCCCGATCCGATGATCCGATGATCGACCTGCTACGTCGCACATGCATTTTGTATTACAAATTTTATCGCTTAACAAAAATACAGTT